AGCCATGCTGTTGCAAAAGGTAAGATTTCCTTCTTTCTTATGACCAATTAGTATTCCACTGTGTAAATGAACCACAGCTTTTTTAAAAAAAATTTTTTATGGACTTGAGAGAGAGGGTGAGGAGAGAGGGAGAGAGAGAGAGAGAGACGTCCATGATGAGAGAGAAGCATGGATCGGCTGCCTCCCGCACGCCCCCGACTGGGGATCAGCCCACAACCCGGGCACGTGCCCTTGACCGGGATTCGAACCCGGGACCCTTCAGTCTGCAGGCCGACGCTCTACCCACTGAGCCACACCAGCCAGGGCCAGACTTTATCTGATTGGGATCTTAAAACTCCATTCAATCAATAATTGAATATCTAGAGCAGGAGAGGTAATTGTCGGTGGAAACATGCTTTTAAGTAACTTCGGGGCTGGTCATGTTTTTATTATTTAGTTCAAATACACACACACACACACAGTTAATCCTCACCTAGGATATTGTCCCATTGATTTTTAGGGAGAGCGGAAGAGAGAGGGAGAGACAGAGAGAAACATCGATGTGAGAGAAACACATCGATGAGCTGCCTCCTGCACGCACCTCGACCAGGGCCCGGGCCGGGGAGGAGCCTGCAACCGAGGCATGTGCCCTTGACTGGAATCGAACACAGGACCCTTTAGTCCTCAGGCCAACGCTCTATCTGCTGAGCCAAACAAGCTAGGGCTGGATTTTATTTTTCTTAATGTGGTGAAATACATGTAACATAAAAGCCTTTCCAGGGAGTGGAGGGGCAGGGTTCAGGGGCACCCCCCGGAGTGCAGGGCAACTCCTCGGGGATGGAGCCAGGTGGCCGTGCCCTCCACGCCCCCCCAGTCCCCCGCACACACCTGGTCCGGGGGCGCCGGGGGCGAGGGCCGACTGAGTGCACCCCCAGGCCTCAATGGCCCCCCACCTGAGGAAAGGCCATCTGAGTGCACCCCCAGGCCTCAATGCACCCCCAGCTGAGCGAAGGCCATCTGAGTGCACCCCCAGGCCTCAGTGCACCCCCAGCTGAGGAAAGGCCATCTGAGTCCACCCCCAGGCCTCCGTGCCCCCCCTGCAACTGAGGGAAGACCGTCTGAATCTGCCTCCAGGCCAGAGGAGCGTCATTAGCTGGAGCTGGAGGGCTCTATC